GTCTTGCTTTTTCTTTTTTTTTTTCCTCTTTCTCTTTCTCTTTTTCTTTTCTTTTCTTTTCTTTTCTTTTCTTTTCTTTTCTTTTCTTTTCTTTTCTTTTCTTCTCTTCCTTTCTTCCCCTTTCTTTCCCTTTCTTCCCCTTTCTTTCCCTTTCTTCCCCTCTCCCCCTTGCCCCTTCTCCAGGTTTTGTGTTTTTTGTTTTTTTTTTTTTCTTCCGGTACCAGTTGCTTCCCTCTGTCTCTCCCTTCCCCCCCCTTTCATTCATTCATTCATTCATTCATTTTGGTTTTCCAAGACAGGATCTCACTATGTAGCTCAGGCTGGCGTCAAACTCATTGCAACCCTCCTGCCTCAGCTTCCCGAGTGCTGGGATGACAGGCGTGCACCTCTGTGCCTGGCTGCTATCTGTCCCAGCTCCAAAGTTAAGAGAGCCTAATGCAGAGGGAATAAAATGGCAACAAAGGACTCCGCTGCACAAAGCAGAGTGACTTGCTGTGAGCAGGTCATCCAGTGTGCTCTTTCCTGGGATGGGGAAGTGGCTGGTCGAGGGGGGTGCTGTGCTGTGTGAGGGTGTGTAAGTGCAGTACCCAGGTGCAGGGTCAAAGCCAAACCATAATGATTTATCAGGGGACCGCAGAGCTCTCCTGAGTTGGTAATTGTGTACTTAAGGGTTACTTGATACTGTTTTAAATGTATGGCTTGGAACTAGAAACAGTAAAAGCTCTCTGAACCCAGCTAGTTGGAGGTGGATGGCAAAGCAGTGCAAATGATGTATCAATGAAAAGTGATTACAGTTTATTTTCAAGAAATGCTGCTCCTCAGAATGCTAAGTGGTCTCCGTGGTCCGGACTCCTTTGTGAGTTTCCCATTAAGTATAGAGGGGCTGCTGCCCAGGGCTCCTCAGCTTGGGGGTCCCCTTTAGTATGGCTGCTCCTGCCCCTTGATTCCGACACTTATTGAGGGCCACCGTGCCACATGGTCCCAGGGGCCTGATGAAGGCGCACAGCCCTGCCCTTTCTGCGTTTCCCATAGACGCGTGGAGGGAGCGAGGGCGGGTGGATGGAAGGGGCAGGGTGGGCTTCTTTCTGTTAGATCCGGGAGCGGGGTGTTTTGTGTGGACGTGGAGGGGCCACCCCTTGAGGGCAGAGTGGTTCGGGCGGAGCCAGCCGCCACTGTGAGCTACCCCTCTGCTCCTGCCTCTAGGATGGCTTTTGAGAGGTGCGGGGGCTGAACATGGTTGGCTGTTCGGTATTTGTTGGCAGTAAAGGATGATTCGATATTTAGATGTGGCAGAGGCATGGTAGGTTTTTTATTTGTCTGTTTTCCTCTGTAGTGGGGATTGAACGTAGAGCCTTCTCACTGAGCTGCCCAGGCTGGGCTCAAACTTTGATCTTCTCAACTCTTGTATTTTGACAGGTCTCACCAAGTTGCCCAGGCTAAGCTTAAACTTGTGATCCTTCTGCCTCAGCCTCCCAAATAGCTGGGATTACAGGCTAGCACTGTGCCTGGTGGTAGTTATGTTTTTAAAGATCATTTTCAATTTGAGATGGACTTTTTTTTTTCTCTTCCCCAAGACAGGACCTTCCTCTGTTGCCTATACTAGCCTTAAACCCTGGGTGCTCCTCCTGCCTCAGCCTCCCAAGACTACATGCATGTACTATAGCACCTGCTCCCAGAGTCATTGATTTTGAAATGCCACAGTCCCAGGGATTTTTCCTAAAACATAAACGAGGCCCCTGGACGTTGTGCCTGCGGTGTAGGAGGCATGGCCAAGGAGGCCAGTGTGCCTGCCTGGCGGGAGAAAGTTGGGGTGGTTGGAGGGTGGACCCCAGGGTCAGGAGAGCAGACCTCAGTGCCAGGTGAGCTCTGGGCTAGGGCTTCAAGCAGAGCCCAGCCCGAGAGGCCTCTGTCCCTGCAGGGAGGGCTGCGTGGCCTGCTGCAGTGTGGACGGTGGTTGGGGCTCAGATACTTGACATGGCCGAACCAGTGAGAGTATCTCATGGGCTGGGGTACTTCACCCCCTTCTCCTTTTTGAGGCAGAATCTCGCTATGTAGTTCTGACTAGCCATGAACTCACAGTGGTTCTTCTACCTCAGGCTCCTGAGTGTGTGTGTGTCACTGCTCGGCTGGCCACTTGATTATTAATATATGTGTGTGGGTGCGTGATAAGTGGGGGTGGAATCCAGGGCCAACACACTGACCTACATCCCAGCCTTTTTTTTATTGAGACATGGACTTGCTAAAGTAGGCTGGACTCCAACTTACTAACTCATTTCTTTTCTGGTGTGTGTGTGTAAGTGTGTGTAAGGGTCTCTGTAGGCCTTGAACTCACAGCAGTCCTCCTGTCTCAGCCTCCCGAATTCTGGGATGACAGGCGTGTGCCATCACATCTGGCCTGGTGGGGCATAGTTTGACTCTGAGTAATTCGTAAAGAATGGGTGTGACACAGACTGGGGAGAGCGGTGGCAGAGCATGAAAATTGTCCCCTTCTGTAATGTTTGTGCATTGCCCTGTGGTCCTGGGCGCAGCAGTGCCTCCAGGAAGAGGTGTTCCTGTGTGTCCTGTGGGCACGCAGAGCAGAACTCTTGGTCTTCGTTGGAAATGAGTTACCTATACGTGCATGGATGTGCTGTTTGTTGAGCTGTTTGTTTGGTGTCTGTGTCACACTGTCTTGATTGTAGCCTCATAGTAAGTCTCAAGTCCCTGCGGGTACGTCACCCAGCTGGCCTCTCCTTTTCATGATTCTGGGTCCTTTTCTTTCTCTCCTTTTTTGGTGTTGGGGATTGAGGGCTGGGCCTTGCTGCTCATGGTAAGTGTACCCTCTAACACTGACGTGTGCCTCCAGCCTAGAATCAGCTTATCATTTCTGTAAGAACAGTCTGCTGAGTATTTTTGTTTGTTCGGCTTCTTTGAGATAGGGTCCTGCTATGTAGTTCAGAATGACCTAGAAGTTACTGTGTAGTCCAGGCTGGCCTCCAGCTCACAGTGATCCTCTTGCCTCAGCCTCCTGAGGGCTGGGACACAGGTGTGCACTGCCATGTCCAGCTATGCTGAGTGTCTTTCTTTTTTCAAGAGATAAAACAAGGGTTTATTAGATTTTAGGGTACACTCCAGAGTGGAGTATGGGTGCTCAAAGAAGTGAGAAGCTGAGTATTCTCAAATAGGATGGTATTAAGCCTGTGGATCAATTCTTTCTGTTTTTTTTTTTTTTTTTTTTTTTAAGTATTGGAAATTGAACCAAGGGAGAGTTGGGTTCAGTCTCCTGCCCTTTTTATTTTTTGAGACAATTCTCACTGACTTGTCTAGGCTGGCCTTGAATTTGTAATTCTCCTGCCTCAGCCTCCCAAGTAGTTGAGATTGTAGGCGTGTGCCACCACACTTTGTGTAAGGGTCTGCATGCTAGTGTGTTACTACTGTATAGAAATATGGATGACTTCGGGATACTTCTGGTCCTTGACTCAGTAACGGCGCTGTATTCTGCCAAATCTGGAAACGTCGTAAGTCAGAAGTGCACTTATGCCACCTGCTTGGCCCGAGTCCTGGATTATCAACACACTGCTGTCTAGTGTCAGTGCTTTACCTTCACAAAGTGTTGCCACCTCCATCGTGAGACAGGGTGGGACCACGTAGTGCCACGCCAGAAGGCCTGCGTTCAGGACTGGAAGGTGCTTTCTGGTGATGTGCTGCCATTTCTGGACCATCATGGGCTTGAAGCATGAGTCAGACTGTGGTTGAGCGAGCTGGCCGTACAGACCTTGATGCAGCAAAGCAAGTGTGTGGTGAGCCTAGAGCCTCTTCCGGCCGCCCCTGCCTGGCAGGGGAGAGTGAGGGTTAACGGCGCCCCTGGGCTTCATGGCCCGGGTGGGTCCACAGGGCGGCAGCAAGGGCGCTTCCTAAGGAGCTGGACGTGCTGTGTGCGTGGCCAGCCTGGGCTCGCTCTGTGAGGTGCTGCGTGCTCCCTGGTGCTCAGCCCTTCCTGAGGGTGTGTGCTGCTGTCCTTATTTCACAAGTTTTCCTGTGGGAGTGTTTCTCACCATCCATGAGCCGTGAATTGCTGTGAACCTGGTTTAAAAATAAAGTTTCCTATCAGAGCGGGCTCCGGGTAGTCATGTGGGTGCAGAAAGTGACAACAGAGTTGGTGTGGACACCCTTGGACCCAGGACCTGGCCGTCGGCCTGTGTGTCTGAATCCCAAACCAGTAGTGGAAGCCTGGGGCCATCCCGTCTCTGTGACCCTGAGAACATTGCTGAACACTTCCCTTTGGTGCTTGTTCACTTCCCTCTGTGCCGAGCTCCCCTAGTCCTGCAGGTCCCCTGCCTTAGTTCTCCTGTGTGGGCAGCGGGTAGCTGAGGATTGCAGACCCTGTGGAGGTGACCTGAGGCCGGGGTGGAGCCTGCCATCATATGGCCAGGTGCCTTGTGTCATCGTGTTTCTCAGGTGCAAAGCCAGAGCCGGAGTTACCTCCCTCGGGTCGGTTCTGGGGAGGTAGGGGGAGAGGAACCTGGGAGAGAAGACCTGAGCTCTAGGTGCTACCTCGGGGCTCTCTGACCTTGAAAAGTTCCTGAGTGTCAGCGTTCCTGTCCCTGACCTATAGAATGGCACAGTCCTGTGACCCCTGAGGTTGCTCAGGGATTCACAGATACATGGCGTTGTCCCCTGAGCTAGGATCATGGAACATGTGTTGAAGCTGCTGCTCAAGGCCGGGGCTATTTCAGATGTTAACGCCAGTGCTACTGTAACAGAGCCTGAGTCGATCAGTTCTGGGGTCAGTGTTGAAAGGTAGCAGGGCTCTGGCTTCATTTGGGTCCATTAGCGTCTGGCTGGCTGGTGTTTGCCGCTTGTCCCGGTCTTGGTTTGTCCCTCACAGCTGATGAAGTGCATTGGTTTGGCTTGCCCTTGTTGGGGATCACAGCAGAGGCACCCTGGTGGAAATCTGAAATCCCGCTCCTCCAGGCCCTTCCTTGGAAACTCAGTGTTTCTTCCTCTGTCCTTTGGTTTAGGTCGGTCAGCACATTGATGCGAGTTGCCTTTTGACGTAGCTGCAGCCATGGCCCACTGCTAGGACCCACGTGTCCTGTACCCAAGGGCAGGTGAGTGCTGGGGTTCGCATCTGTGGAACAAAGAGCTCTGGCCTGTCCTGGCCCGGCAGGGCCCGGTCAGCGACATGGACGCCTGACCAAGGGCTACCTTAGAAGCCGGCAACCGTCTCTGGAGAGGACAGGGAGGCAGGTCCTTGTGGGCCACACGCTGTCTGCTCGGGTCACCCCTGAGGTCCAGGGATCAGACATCACGCTCGTTGTCCTCATGCTTGAAAGCCGAGGCAGAACGGGGTGGGTCTGGCCTCTGCGGATCAGCACGGGAGGATTATCCTGGTGGCCGGGTGGCCCTGGCCTCCAGCTGTGCTGTACTTTCCCAGCACTGCACCCAAGGCTTAGAGCTTTCGTTGCTCGCAGCACAGGGCACTGTGCTGTGCTTGTGCTTGGAGCTGCTTCCCTCGCTAGCCTGTGCCTCGTGGGAAGCAGAGCTGCCCTCCCAGCGTGGAGCGCCCACTTGAGGGTTCTGCCAAGAGCCGTCCCAACCCGAAAGCTTGTGTGGCCTTTCCCGGTTACTTTGAGGACTGACGCAGGCCGCCTCCCTAGAGAAGACACCCTCCGGGGTCCTCTGCTGCCTTTTGCAGACGGTGATGCACGCTGCCTGGCCCGGGGCCTTGTCCCTGCTCTGCTGGGCACGGCTGGGTGCAGTGCCAGCACGTAGGGCAGACCCCGCTGTGCGGGCAGTTAGTGCTTACCTGCTGTGTAGGAAGCTGGGCTTGGTGACGCGACCAGCCGCCAGGAAAAGTTGCACAGTGCTCTGCTGACCAAACCAAACTTCCTGCTGCTTTAAAATACTTTGTTTTGGGATATACGTCGCGCAGCATGCAGTCCACCCACTTAAAGGGTGGATTTTCAGTGGTTGCTTTGGTATGTTTGAGAGTTGTTAAACCATCACCACTCTTCAATTCCAGTTTTATCACCCCAAAGGAACACACACTTACCAGCTCCCCTGCCCCCCTGCCCCCCTACCCCAGCACCTGGTGACTGCTTGTCAGCTTCCATCTCAGAACTTGCCTTTCTGGACGGCTCGTATCGGGGGGATTGTACGTGATACAGTACAGCCTTTTGCATCTGGCCGCTTCTGCAGCTATTTTCAGGGTTCACCCACACTGTACAGTGTGTTAATGCTTCATTTTTCGGGCTGAGTAACTTTCCTGTGTGTATCTAGGACCCCATGCTGTTCCCCATTCACGGTGGATGCACATTTGCTTTCTGGCTAATGTGAGTACTGCAGCTTCAGCACTCCCGCCCAGGGTTTTGTCGAAGTACCTGTGGTCTGTTCTGGGCATGATCTGGAGGGGAATTGCGCCCCGTAAGTTAGCTCTGTGTTAAACTTTTCCTGTTACCACCAGATTGGTGTCTGGCAGCGGCACAACTGCGCATTCCTGCGGCATTGCGTGGCACTCCCAGAGCTCTTTGGAAAAAGGAGCGGATAGGGACGCAGGTGACCACAAAACCCACCTCCTTGCAGGGTGGGAGAATCCCCGGCTCAGGAGAGGAGCCACTGGCCTTGTTCTGCATCCCAGGGCGTCATCTGAGGGCAGGGGTGGCAGCCCTTGGCCAGCCTGTGAGCATGCGGTCTGAGCATGGAGGGGGCCGTCACGGCGAGGACAGCTCAGTCAGCGCCGGCACGTGAGGCCGGGGTCACACAGGTAGAAGCCGCCCTTGAGTAGTTATTTTTGCAGATATGTAAATATGTCCGCTTGTGTGCTTTTGGATGTGTGCAAGTCAGCCTAGCATGTGAATTGATTTTAGGTTTTCTCTATAAAGTTGGAGTTTGGCCCCTCTTGGGTGCATCACACTAGCCCATATCCACCTTTGGTTGAAGCTGTGGCCTGTGGTCAGCAGGGTGTCCCTGTCCCTGCCCCTTGGGCACAGGCAGAGGGCTGGTTCCCAAAGCCCACCACCCCACCCTTTCCAGGGCGCTCAGCACCCACCTGCGCACACAGGTCGCTTCCTGCTGTGGCTCGCGGGCGTGCTCTCACTGTTGAGGGGAGCTGTCCCTCAGCTGGGCCCGAGCGTGCCGAGTGTCGAGGGGAAGACGGGCAGAGCTTGGCGCAGTGAGTGGCGCAGGCGACTGTGGGCCACAGCGTGAACAGTGCCTGCCTTCCTGTCACAGTCACACGTGCAGCAGGCACTCTGGGGGCTGAAGCCGGGGATCACAAGTTCAGTTTAACCTGGGCACTTAGGGACTTGATGAGACCCTGTCTCAGAGTACAAAACAAGCTGGTCGTGGGGGCACATGCCTGTAATCCTAGCAGTTGGGAGGCTGAGGCGGGAGGATTGTTGTAGGTTCGAGTTCAAGGCCAGCGTGAACTGCACAGTAAGACCCTGTGTCAAAAAGATCAAAAAAAAAAGTACAAAATAAAAAAGGGTGGAGGATGTACCTCAGTGTCAAGGCCCTGGGCTGAACCCCAGTACCATAAAACCACCAGCCAACCAAAAAAACCCCAAAAGAACCATGCACATTGTAGAGTCTGCCCAACATGCATTCTGGTGGTTTTTTGTCCCGTCCCCCGCCCCCCGCCCCCCGTACCGGGAATCGAACTCACGACATTGCACCTGCCAGGCAGGTGCTATGCCGCTAAGCTAAATCCCCAGCCCCCCAACATGCATTCTGTGGACCCTGTTCCAGTGGTGAGCATCAGGTATTGTTGGAGTTGCTTTTGGGGATCTCAGAGGGGGACTTGCAAACCCCTTGCTCCAGGAATTCCCTTTTTAGAAATTGACCCCAAAGACACGCTGTCAAAAATATGAAAGGATGTTGGCGCGGCTCTTCCTCACCACAAGCAGAAGGGGCAGAGCTGGGCGGGGAGCGGGCGGCCTGTGTGCTGTGGTGACCGGACTCCCAGGTCAAGGACAAGTGGAAACGGATAGGGTGGAGGAAGAGGACGGACTGCGCTGCCGCTTGCTAGGGTGGGGCCGTGTGTTGAGTGCATGATCACTTGTGAGCTTGAGGAGTCCTGGTTTTGACTTGAGGGCACCAGTACCGATGTTGCTGCTGTTGCATATTGCGGGAGAAAGCAAATGAGAATGTCTTTACAACCAGAACTCCCAGCACTGAAGAAAGCACAGATAAAAAGTCGCAGTTCTTATGTATAAAACGTAAGCCGAGTTCATTCTCAGTCTGCATCAGGAATGTTGCCACTGTTCTCAGCACTGGCTGGGTTGTGTCAGAATGGCCACGGCCCCCTGGCCAAGAGTGGGGCAGACGATTGGGAACAGGAGCAAGTTTCTGGGTCAGGTATTAGAAGTGCAGCTCCTTGAGAGGCTGAGGTCTGAGGCCAACCTGGACGACACAGTGAGAGCCTGTCTCTAAACACATAAATAGAGAAGATTCTTGGGCTCTCCCGGGTGCTCAAAGGGAAGGGAGAAACTCATCGTCCCTTGGAGAGGGTGACAGGGAATCCACCCATTTTGGAAGCCAAGGCATGGACGGAAGGAAGCGTTTGCCCTGCCTCTTCTCCACGGCTGCCCACTGGAGGCCGAGGTCCTGTGGCTGAGGCGGGCAGCTTGGCGCTGTCCCTTAGCACGCCAGGAACCTGGGCTGTTCTCTGTGCGTGTGGTCCAGTGGGCACCTGGTGTGGTGTGATCCAGGAAATCAGGGTTGTAGTTTGACTTAGGCAGCCACAAGCGTGACTGATGGACAGCACACCCATGGACTGTCCCCACGGACACAAAGCAGAATTAGAATTTGCGGAGATCTCGTTAAATGGGGGTTAGTCTCTCCTGTGGAGAGACTTGTGACCTTGACACTGAGGTACATCCTCCACCCTTTTTTATTTTGTATTTTTTTTTTTTTATTGTTGTGGTCTGTGGCCACCGACCCTAAGGAGGGCACCATGGGCTTCTGGGGTGGTGTGCGCCTGCCATGCTATGAAGACTCATTTACAGGAAATGGAGGAGGTGCCTGGTCACATGACAGGGACGCCACCCGCAGCACCCAATGGTGGGAAATAGGACAGATGACCTAATTTCTGAGCGTATGATTGCAGAGAGTGTGCGTGTAGGGCAGATGTGGACCAGGTTAAATCCTGAATACCACAGGAGAAGAAAGCATGAGGGAACTGTCTGGTCTTCAGGGTGACCTTGTGTCATGAGTTGTGTGTGCATCATTTGCGACGTAGGGACCCAGCTAACTTCCTGGGCCAGACCTCAGCCCCATGTCTCTTGGCCCTGTGCCATTAATCCTCTGGGGCTCCTCGGCTGTGGGCTGTGGTGTGCAGGACTGTCACTGGGGCTCCCAGGGGTGCCCCTGGGGCCTGGCCAGCGCTGGTCCCTAGCAGAAATGGCAGTGGGCGTTTGGATGGGCAGAGAGTGGAACCCCTCGTGAGGTCGTGGCCTGTGGCGCGCCCGTGGTAGTGTTACTGTGCAGCCACGATGCGTCCGAGTTTAGGCAGTGTGGGCCGGGGCCGGGGCCTGTTGTAAGTGCCACTTCGCTGTGGTGGTCCGTGTGCCCAGCTGTCAGAGGCCCTCCTGCCTCTGCCCAGGCCCCTCAGGGACTTGCCCATGGTGACACTCGCAGGCTCGGCACCTTTCAGGAAGAAGGTCCTTCTCAAAACACTTTTCCCTCAGTACTGGAGTTTGAACCCAGGGCCTCACACTGAGTTCTATCCCCAGCCCTCCAATCCCCCTTCTCTACTTTCATTTTACTTTATATTTTTGTCCTTTTGAAACGGGGTTTCACTGTGAAGTTCAGGCTGGCCGTGAACTCACTTTGTAGCCCAGGCTGGCCTCAGACTTACAGTGATTCTTCTGCCTCAGCCTCCTAGAAGCTTGGATGACAGGTGTGTGCTACTGCCTAGTGAGGAGGTTCTTACTGCCCTCTGCACAGAGGGCTTGCTGGGTCTTCCTGCATCCCTGAGGGGACTCGCGGTGCCTGACCTGAGAGCTGCAGGCTCGATGGCTGTGGGGATGTGGCTACACAGAGGCCATGTGGCCCAAGGACCTGGAGCACGCTGTCCAGTCAGCAGAGCCCGGCTCGCGTCTGGTAGCTG